CTGCTTGTCCTATACTCGTGACTTGTCCTACACAATTTTTTTTTTCTGAGGTAGAGGGAGAGGGGTAAGGGGAGGGGGAGAGGGAGAGAGAAGAGCAAGTTGAACCCTTAATCTTAACGAGGCAAATACTTTATATGGTAAAAGAGTATCATTAGATCAAAAACTCCTTAATTGTCATTCACAATTAGTTGTAACACTATTGCTATATATAAGGTATCTCCGATCATAGTCATGACACTCAATCATTTTGAGTAACAAATTTGAATTGATACGAGACTATATTATAGCATTTTTAATAGATTTTTCATTTCTATTAAATTCTTTCTTTATCTAAAATGGAGAAATAAAATTCACTATATTTTGATACAGATGTTGAGCAACTATCTACTTTAAAAGTTTAAATTGTTAGAAAGAGAGTGTAACTGTTGGAATTTTTATTTCATAACGTTCGAGAGATGATATAACTTTTAATATTTATACTTCAATACGTCCCCTCACATGCAGAGTAGATTTTGGATCTAGCACATAAAAATATTTTAATAATTATGGTGGCGGTGAAATTTAAACACAAGACCTCTTATTTTTATATCATGTTAAACAATTATTTATTTCAAAAAATTCAAACTTTTAGAGATAGTGTAACTTTAATATTTATATTTCAACAACACACACAATGCACAGAGTGAGAGATAATTAATTACCTTCCCATTTGAGTTGGGGTGGAACACATTGAACAAGCAAGAGTAATGTATCGGGATCAAGATCTCCATTAATATATTTCTTCTTCAATTTTTTTCTTGGCGAATCATCTACCAGTAATCAATGAGAAATTCACATGTATACTATGAATTGCACTTAAATATATGATAGGTGATTTTCTAAGAAGAAAATTTAAGAAAAAGTATATTAGAGGAGATTTCACTCGAATGTATTGAGATCTAAAAATTTAACTTATTAATAAACCTAGTAAGTTATTACTATAATTATAATTATAAAAACTTCTTTATTAAGATCATATCGTTTGACACATAATTATATCAAGTTATAAATAGAACTGATAATCGAACGAACTTGAACGAGCTCGAGCCGAGCTTATCGAGCTCTTTTAAAATTCAGCTCTGAAAAAACACAAAAACAAGTCAAATCTGAGTTGAGTCACAATATTTACATATAAATAAGTCGAGTCAAACCTGTTGAGCTTGTTTTTTAAACGAGTCTAAAAAATTATTTAAATTTAACTCATTTTCTAAACGAGCAGATCTTAAATGAGTCTAAAATGAGTTGAGCTCAAATAGTTCGGTTCAATTATCAAACCTAATTATAAGATTAATTTTTTAAATTTCAACAATATTATTCAATAAAAAAAAAATTTGTTGCATCATGGAACTTAAAATATACAAGATGACAAGTCGGGAGATTGCAAAGTAAGATTAACGTATGATCCATAACGTAAGTGTTGTTCAAAGGAGAGGCAACTTTTCCTACTTTAGAAGGGAAAAAGCATAATCGTCCCTAAGAAATAACAGAAGGGCACAACTTTTCATGCTTTCTGATATGCAAAAGAATAACTTTCCTACCATTGATTTTCGTAACCCAACATTCTCATCTTTGGAAAGCATTAAAAAGCTGGAGGGCAAAAATGCTCTAAATTAATAAATTAATAAAAAAAAAAAAAGTGAAATAATCCACTCAGATTGGTTTGGTGATGGAATAGAGGCATGTGGTACGATAATCTTGATTTGAGTCTCTCTCCCATATAAAATACGGGTATAATCGATATGAGTAGTTTGTAGGTGATTGATTGGATAAATTCATAATTTGTGTTGTACCTATGAATTTAAAAGATATGGGATTTAAATAATTTTTTAACTAAAGAAAAAAAAAAAGAAGAAAAAAGTGAAACAATTATGAAATACAAAAGAGATGAGCATCTCTTCTTTAAACCTTGAAGATGTTTTTTACTTTAGAATCGCAGAAAGATGATTATCTCTTCACAACTTTAACTTAAACTCGTCAGCAAAAGTCAGGAATTTGTCACTAGTGGTTTTTAAAAGCTTATGAGTTGGGGGAATTAGTGCAGGTTTTGAAAGGACGAAAGGGGGGCTTCATGAATTCCTCCCTCTCTCTCTCTCTCTCTCTCTCTCTCTCTCTACGTTCCTTTGAATCTAACCAGCTTATTACTTAGGATAATGATGTCCTGCACTTTTGAGTTCTCTTTTGTCGTCTTTTAAGATAGCTGGAAGAAAGAAAGAAGCCTTCACGTTAGACCAATTCTGATTCCTTGTCCATTTTTCTTTTTCTCTTTTTCTTCATACGTTCTCCCCTCACTTTTGTTTTTGCACATTCTTTTTCAATATGAAAAATGTTCTACTGTGAATGCAGCAAATGGAACTGCATTACTCTGGTTACTACAATTTTGGACAAACTATTTGTTATTTCTAGGAATTTAAATATGTATTTTATGTGTAGAAGCAATGCTAGTATGTGTGTAATATAAATCACAATATGCAGTGCTATTGAGTCTTAATTTGGGTATCTCATTTAGAAACTTAATGCATTATCGATTAGCATTAGCCTAACAACCAAAGTAACAAGCTTGATGACTTTTTCCAAACTATGCAGTGAGTAATATGGAGCCGATAGCTCAACAACCTTAGCTAGGGTATTTCTTATACAAAAAATGATGGGTAAAACACACGTTAATGGTCCCTTAAGTATGTATTTAATTTTTGTGTTACTGTTGTCCTCAATTTTATTTTTTATATTTTTCTCTCTCAAGTTTTCATTTTTTGTGACTTTGATCCAATCGGAATTAACCAACGGTTTAATTTGGTACTTTTGGTAGATTTTGTCTTTGACTTTTCAAATTCAAGAATATTGAACAAACGAAAACTTCTATAGGATTAATCTGCAAAGATAACTCAGTGGTGTAGGGTTGTTGAATTTGGGATAAACTATAAATTCATACATTTAAAGTTTGATCCTTGCCAAGAACCCTCAGGTTTGACTGATACTTGTAATTAGCAAGTAATCGTGAATTTTTGGAGTTTACAAAGTAAGAGTGGGTTCAATGTAACCATACAATTTTTTTTAACCATTTTTTTTTTTTAAAAAAGGCTAGTATTAGGTTGGATCATTTGGACCCAACTTAGTTATGTCTTATAATTATAAATAGAAGAGTAATGTTATTGAGATTTAAAAAATTGACCTAATTTGATAACTTAGCAATGTGTCAAGTGATAGGCTCCCAAATGTCCAAGACTTTCCATTTCAATCAGGACCATATTACTGTCACATCATTAGATCAATTTTTAAAATTCAATAACATTACCGGGAGATGCATGCGTCTTGGAATCTAATTTTCCCTCAAAAGCATGATGATTGGAGAAAATCCATGATGAGTGTTTAAATCTTTGTAAAATAGAGAAAGTGGACGATCCTTTTAACACAAAGTTTGTTACTTTTTCGCTCTTTATATATATGGGTAATATTTAACCTTTTCTTTTGAGTTTACTTTGATCTATGCACCTTTTGGTAGCTTTGGATGTGCCTTTTTACGTTGATGATGTTATAGTAAAAGATAGAGTCGAAAAAACTTTGTTGTTGGTCATGCAACAATTTTTGTGGTGTAGAAGGTAGCATATATTATGTTTAAATTGCATTATTCTATGTTTATCTCGAATATTAATCAATCTCAATCCAGCCGATTTAATCGATCATGTTAGATTCCTTTTTCGGCATGTCGCACGCTTGAAAGAAGCATCATGCATAGAAAAAGTTGCACAAATGCTAAATCCATAGAAGAAAATGAGTTATTGATTGTTCATCATTAAGAATAATTCATCACGATTTATGCGTCCATTATAAAACCTTTGGAGAAACTTCGAACACCTTTGGATGATGAGGATTTGTCTGCTTCAATAAATCATATCGTATTTTTTTTTTAAATGTCTAAAATTTATAAATTGAATTTGTTTGTGTGAACTTACTCTTTAACAATTTAGAGAGAAATGAAGGATGCTCCAATTATGAAAACTCAATTCCCAAGCTTAGTATGTATAACGAATATATTATCTGATTTTTTTTCATTTAGCTTAAAAAAATGTCATTGAAAAAGAAATTCAGAAAGGGTCTTTGATTGTTTAAACCTCTCCAACCATGCTAGATATTCTAGAAACTGGTATCTTAAATTTGCAAATGATAGGAGCTTAGTCACATAATCCTTCGAAACTACCGACACTCCCAACGCTTCGCGTGCAAATTCCGCTTTAAGAGTGAATTCTCTATGAATTCACATACTCATTATTATTTAAATTTTTATTTGAAAATTATTAATACATACATAAAGATACATATCAAACTAAAATAATATTTATAACCTATAATTGTTATTTCAAGACTTTATAATCAAGATATATTTAAAAATTAAATAATTTCTCACATAGTTGTGCATGAAATTTAATTTTTTGTATTTATTTTTGTTAATTTATATGAGTGAATATTTGTCTTAATGCGTATAATATGATGCTCTCAAGCTACTCTAACTCTTAAGTATTTTTGAATTTTTACTACTTTTATGCTCCCGCCTTCACTCTATGTGATATAGGATAGGAGTTCCCAATTTTATGCTTCTACATGAAAGTGGAGTTTGCCAAGAATTGTCTTATGAAACTGTTTGCTATTATAAAAAAATATTCATAATTATGCATCTACTTTTACTCTAGTTAATTAGTTAAGCACCACACATAAACTTAAAGGAAGACTACATAAATCAGAACTGGTTTCTTATAAAAAAAGCTAAAAACAGTTCACCCAATAGGGATTTCTTATGCCAAACCACAAAGAAAAAGAAAGAAAGAAAAGAACGGAGAAAAGAAAAAAAAGAGAGAAGAGCCGAATACTAAAAACAAATTAAAGAACAAAAGAAGGAAGAGATAGAAGACCACAACCTACTTGAGGAAGATCAGGAATAATATATACATGTATTTTTCTACACTGGTTTCAGCATCTTGATCTATATAGTGCTTGTTTAAGAGCTAGAACCAGAAGACTATATAAAGAAACAGACATCAGACAAAAGAAAAAAGAGGACTCAAATCCAAGAAAAAAAAAAAACAAATGGCTCGAAGGTTCTCTTTGATTACTACTCTTGGATTTTTAAGGTAATACATCTATCCACATATTCAAGAAGCCCCATATTGTCGATTGACCGATCCTCAGCACTATGATCATCAAATGAAATATTCAAATCCAAAGACAAACAAGGGTTAGTATCTCTCAGACCAGCACATCTCTCCTCTTGTGACACTTCTGATTTCTGCTTAACAGGAGGANCCGATCCTCAGCACTATGATCATCAAATGAAATATTCAAATCCAAAGACAAACAAGTGTTAGTATCTCTCAGACCAGCACATCTCTCCTCTTGTGACACTTCTGATTTCTGCTTAACAGGAGAAGAACAGGCTCTTGACTTAGAGCTGAAGCTTTCGCAGCTCAAAATGACAATGGCATCTGAAAGACTCACTTCTTCACCATTAGAATTTCTTATTCTTCCTCTTTCAATTGCCCTTTTAATACCCATTTGCGAGCAATAGTCTGCTTGCTCTACGTCTTCAACCAAGAACACCCGATGAGGATTAGAGGACACCGCTTCTGCAAATCTCTCAATATAACTGCAACTTTGTTCACCTCTGGACCTTTTACTTTGGAAATCTTCAGTTGAATCAGCCCTTGTAGATGAGAAGCTGCTGAGAGAAATTGACACAAAGTTTGAATGCGAACCGAACACAACTTTAGCCAATTCCCTGGAAATTCTAGCTTTGGCTTGCACATCAACACCTTGGAAGAACAACCAAGTCTCTTCTTTGGCTTCACTATTTCTAAGCTTGTCTTTCCTTCTTAACATTCCAGACCTGCATTGTAGTATACTGCCGACAATTTCAGGAATGATATCTTTCTGCCATGGCACCTTTTTCTCCAATGCATTGCACAGGGTATTCAGATTCTCGGCATTGAACTCCTTGAATCTTTGAACGTACTCAGCCTCAGCCCCGACCACCACCACGACGTCGTCTGAAGAAGCTGAATTGATTGTGGAATTAGGATTAGAGCAAAGTGCTTGCTTGAGATAATCAGGGCAGTCAGGATCAGGAAAGTACATTCTCAAACTTGGTTCCCGTGTTCTATCAATAGAAGTAGTCCAAAATTGAGAGTCTTTCCATGGGTGTTTGGGTTCAGACATTGGCCAAGCTTGTTTGGTCTGGTCCAAGTTAGGCCATTGTGTGTCATATGAAAAGCAAGAGGTAGATGAAGAAGGTGGTAGGGAAGAGAAGTTTATGATTTTCTCAGAGGATTGGGGTTGTTTGTGGACTGAACTGCAGATTGAATTCCATTTTTTGCACAGTTCTATAATCGATACAGAATCCTAAAAGAAAATAGATATAGAATAAAAGTAAGTTTTTAACTCACATCATATAGTAGCTGATATGAAAAATCTTAATGTATAAAGTTAGATATAATGACCTGATCATCATCATTAGTAGTAGGCCTCTTGTTCTCAACATGGAGCCATGAAGGCAGGCTTGACATTGTGGACTCACTGTTGCAAGTGCTGCTTTGTAAGCTTCGAGCCTCGGATTCGAAACTGGCTGAGCAACGAGCACAGCAACTGAGCTTCTGCTTCTCCTGTCCACCTTCATATAGTAGCCAACTAGGCCCATTTCCAGTTTTCTTGGTTCTTCTATCTTCGCTTTGTGTGTCACTGATGAGAATATGTGAGGGACTAAGTAATCAAAACCAATTACCGTTATTTTTGCAATGAGGCAAAGCAAGAAAAGTTGAAAACACTGTAATCTAAATTTCATAAAAGAAAAACAAACAAAGAACTGAAAGAGAGAGGAAAACGGAAAGGAAGGAAGATAGCAAAGTGAGACAGCATATATAAAAATAAGTGAAGCAACTTACGAAAAAATAAAGGTAAAAGAAGAAAGGCAAAACTGATTGAAAGACAAAAGAGGAAATTCAAAGACATCTATGATCTATCAACCATTTCAGAATGAATTCTATCTTAATGTTTTTATTGAATGAAAAAATAACCCCAAAAACCTTAAGTTAGCCTTTTTGAAATCAAAGTATTTAAGAAAAAATAGCGCAGAAAATCCGAGAATTCCATGTAATTAACTACCGAGTTTAACAACTGTTTTACCTGTCAATCATGAGGCTCAATCCCAAACTGTCTGCAGGAATCGTCACTGGGTGTAGACCCCAAAAAGTTTCAAGTGAATAGTGACCAGTTCTACACCTCATGTAGGTTTGATAGGTTGCAATTCCCATGAGCCAGAACCTTCCTTTCTCTCCAAATCCACTAACCATTGTTCCAAGCTCCATGATCATGTGCTCCACCGGACAGTAGTGTCTTCTCTCTTGCCCTCCACCACTAGCCCTATACTCCGAAATCCATTTGAGATCTCCCAAGTACAGAACAACCCCTTTGTCCACAAAGTTATTCACAAAACTTCTTAACTCTCCAAGCTCTTGTTCAACATCTTCTCTAGAGAGATGATCAAAAGAAGAAAGAGAAAGGCTTTTAAACATCACTTCCCTGAAAGGCTCAGGAACATCTCTTTTCTCAACCCTATCCATCACCCCTCCTACTACAACTTCTACATCTGCAAGACATTCACCAACAATGACAAGACTTTTCCTCCTCCTGTTCATCAAATTTTCTATTACACTCATCACATCATCATTACTAGCTTGATTAAATGCCTTTGGTTTGCTTAGTTTTACTCCAATTTGACCTGTGGGAGGAGAAGGGGACAGGGTTAGAAGGTTACTTTCCTTGGAGTTAATACTTGGAGGAGGTGTTTGAGAGCATAGTTCCAAAGAGACAGCAGCTTGTTCTACATTACTTTTCACTTGGGTACTTGAAAAACCAGCTTCTCTCATGACTCTACTTACACTAGGATCATCCAAGATAGAGATTATGAGCTGTTCTAGCTCTATCTTCACAGCTAAAATGGGTTGCTGCAGATTCTCTATAGAGCCACGGCGCTGGTGAGCTTGAGCCCGTTTGAAGGCGGCCACAAGCGCATTGGAAATTGATGGGTGTTGGGAATGAGGACCCAAAATAGGGGTCGATGAATAGGAGTTTGGAAGTCTATTGAGTGCAACATTGAAGCAAAGCTCTAGGGCTTTGCACTGGAGGGGGTGAGAGTGGGATTGAAGACAGGCCGTTCGAAGAAGGCCTGTTGAAAAGCCAAGCATGGTGTTGGCTACATGCAGAGGAGTCACTTGGGCATGGCCACGCCTTCTAGCGAGAACTATGGCTTGTTTAATGACCCCTGCAGCCTCTGCAGTGAGAGCCTGTTGCCCTGCGCAACCTCCTGATCTCATATTGTCTTCTTGATTGTTTGACAGTATTAGTACTAAAGAGAAACCTGAGGTGGTAAGATGATCATGGAAGATCTTGTAGAGATTTTTGTTTCATGCTGTTCTCTTAATAGAAAGAAATAAGAGATCGGATAGGTTTGTTGTTTAGGAATGGCAAAACAATGATAGGGGGGCAAGTCTAGGGAACATAGGGTGAGTTTGAGAGGGAGAGTGGAGGGTGTGCTTGCAACCAGTTTTGGTTGCTTTGTGACCTATACTAGCATATGTAGAAAATTTTGAGCTGAGTTACACACACCACAGGAAGGCTATCAGTCGGTGAGCACACTCAATGAAAAATTATCATAAAAATAATTTATGCGACATTCAAGTGGGATTTTTCGAGAAAAAAAATTTCCAAAAAAAATAATAAGTAATAATCATTCATTGAAAATATACAATAGTTTATTGGTGATGTACAGAGTACATACACCACTTAACATAGTCATGTAGTAGTGTATATAGTTTATTGAAAATTTTCTCAAACGTATGAACGTTGTGGGTAGAACTACCGGATCCAAAAATTATTTTTCGACACTTTTATCCCATAAAAACGTAATATTTATACAGTCTTATTATTTTATATTCTTACAATTAATGGCTGCATATAACAAAAATTTATTACTATAAATAGTTTTTAGATATAATATCAAAGATTAGTTTTTCGATACGTAATGCAATTCCGGGGTTGAGCTATGCTTTTCTTGTAGGTGAAGGAAAAATTGGGGTCCAAGGAGATTTTGAAGTGGAAAGTGGAGTACTTGTGCTGACAAGAAGGAAGAATGCAACAGTATCAAAGGCAACTCAGCTTTGTGCTCTCTCTCTCTATCTCAAACTCTCTGATAAAGAGATGGTAGCTTTGTAGTGGGTCTCTTTCTTTCATGCAACTATTAAACATCTCCTATCTCTAAATATGGAACAAATCTTGTTTTATTTTATTTTATTTTATCTCTCCTAGCCTTGCGGTACTAGTGGCCATCATCTACCAAAAAACTTTAAGTATATCAAGCACAATTGGGCAAAAAGGTAGACCGAACAAAATAGAATTGCATGTACATCCCTACATTATACCAGCATCCCCACCCCCCACCCCAAAAAAAAAAGTTTAGTTTTTTAGTTTGATTAATGTGCAAAGGAAATTTTGAAATTGAGTAACGTTATAACAGCCCGAATTTAAAACCAAACAAAGACCAAATTCTTTACTCTTATTAGATTAATTGTGAGTTTCTTTTAGTTCAACGGTCAGCTTACTTGCATTTCAATTAATCTCCTTTTCGGTCCAATCAAAAACAGACTATCTTCTCCAGGATTGAGGGATTTATGAGGAATAAATTTCTCGTGGTCTAATCTTAAGGAGTTGCGAATATTTAAAATCAGAACATCTAAATATATAATTCGTTTTTATTACCACTTAAGCTATCTCTTAAGGTTATTAATTATTAGTTTCAAGTTAGATGGAGCACAGTTTTAATCTAATAATTATAGTTGATTAAGTGACTAGCTTAGGTACTTAAATTAAATATAAATAGTATTTTTATTTGAAATTTAAGCGAGGGAAATCTGCTACGGCACACAGTCTTTTTTTTTTTTTTTTGAGAGAGAGACAGAGAAGAGAAGGTACCCACTATTGCTGCACCAAATACTAGTAGCTGGAAAGAGAAGTAAGAGGTGGGAAACTGTCAGTTTGAAGGAATCGGGAACTGTGTACGATTTTCTTCGGAACTCAACGACAAGGAATAAAAGGATTTGATCTAGTTATGGACTAGGAACAAGCACATTTATATTGCTTCAAACCCTTTATGCATGGGGTATCCAGAACGCCCAAACATTCCTTGCAGCCTTCATGCCATTCTCTCTCTCTCTCTCTCTCTCTCTCTC